AACAGCTTGTTAACAGTAGTTAACAGAGCTGTGATATTTGTGAGAATAAGAGAATTTTCAATTTCCCTGTTTTGCATATGACAGTATAACGTTAGATTTCAAAGTTTCCTCATCAGCGCGTAGAGGAGAATTTAAGTAAGAAATGAAAATCCAGCACCTTGAATAGTTTGTTCACAGCACCCATAAAAAGGACAAGCAAGTCATCAAGATACACTTAGTGACCCTTTGGACTTATTCATTAGTTTGGGGGCCACACTAAGAGGCAGATTGATCCTGAAGCCAAGCTTCCTGGCCCCTGTGAGTCCTAGGGTTTGAAGGCGTTGTGGAGTGTTCTGGGATGAGGAGGAGCAGAGGAGAGCAGAGGCTGGATTACAATTAGGTGGCATTTCTCTATCAGCATTCGTAGTAAACCATTTAAGGAGATCTCAGAAAAAAAGCAGCTCAAATCACCTAAGCCCTAATAGGTTCACATAATTTCTATTATTTTAAAGACAGCCTTTTATAATGAATTTTGCATATCTAATTTTATATTAGTCTCCAAAAGGACCCCAACACTGTGTTAGCTCCAGGCTCTATAGGACCTGGGGCTACTCCTGCAATTCAGCCGGATTTTTCACAGCATTTTTCTCTTGGAGAAAACACCTTTCTGACAAAGACCAACTCAAACAAGCAAACCCAGATGGGATACTGACCGGGAGTGGCAGTGGATGGGAGCAGGGAGAATGAAACTGGCCTTGGGCATCAGGAAAAGCCTGCCTGAGGGGGTGTTACTTAAGGCCTGAGCATGGGGAGGGGTAAAGGCTTTCCAGGCAATGGGAGGAGCTGGGAAGCACTTGTGCAGCAGTTTGGGGATGGAGCAATTGTGAGAGTTCAGAAGTCCCTTGTGGCTCAAGTGTGAGAGTTGGGGGAAGACCCCACAAAAAGGCTGGAGAAGTGAGTAGAGCCTGATTCTACAGGGCCCAGAGCACTCAGTTATGATCTTGTCTGGAGGACAATGGAAGCCATTCAAGTATCTTAGGCAGAGAATGATGTGGTGAGATTTGTGGGTTGTTGTTTTTATTTTCAAATTATGTTTATTTATTGAGACAAAGTCAGTTTACATCTCTGTATCGGCCCCAGGAGTTACAGGGTCAGCTGTCCACAGATGCATAATTTCACACCCTGCCCATCACCATGGCCCAACAATCTTCCATCATGCCCCATTGGGTCCCTTTCTTCCCCACTCCCACCTAACCACCTTCCCTCCAGTTTTGCAGTTAGATGTTAAAAATTTATTATTGGTTTGGTTTTCTTTTAAGTAACTTTAAAGTTATCTTAGTAGTCTAAAAGTTGCCTGTGTTTAAGAAGGCAAACTATGGCCATGGGTGGTGGCTATCACGTAATGTTAAGACATGTTCACTTAATATTGGATAAAGATAAGGTCTAAAGCTCCTTGGATGACTCTTCAAAGAAAAAAAATAACCACCACCTATAAGCACATGCCACATGAAGCACATGATACCGGGGTTATTAAAACAAAAAGAGGGGGCCGACAAAATACCAAAGTCAACTATTTGAAAGAGTTCATGAACCAGGGCCAGTTTCTGTTTATTTCTACCTGCTCCCTACTTCACACCCACTGATGCCCCATTTTTGTTTTTGTGTTTGTTTTCATGTCACTTCACACTTGCTCCCAGCCTGCTTTCTCTGCCTGGAAAGCTCATCTGTGTCTTCTCCTACCCCACCTATGTTATGGCTGCCTTGCTTCTTCATCTGTGCACCAGGCTCTCCTCTCCTTGATGCCTCGGCGGTGCTTTACCTGCAGAGCTACTTCCTACTAGTTCTCTGCCTCTCTCCCAAGAGTCTGCACTCCTGAGGGCAGGGACAAGCTCAATTTCTATTTTTCTGTTTATGGTCCAGACTTTCAGCACAGTACCTGTCTCCACAGCAAGTACTCATAAATGTGTGTTAAATAAACAAATAATAGCATTTCCCCCAAAAAAGATTGAAAGAAGAAATGTTTTCATTAAAAACAGAATGCCAATACAGTGTGTGCCTAATTTCCAACCAAAAATCATGAAAATAATTTCCCCAAGATAGAGATTATGTTGTTAAACAAGAGATACTAATCTTAAAAATGTTTGTAGTATTGTTGATTCTAAAAGCAATTCTACTCAGAAATATAACGTGATCAAGTAGAAATCCCAAAATAGAAATTGCTGATGCTTGGGACACATATGATTGGCTTTGTTCCCTCAATGTAGACAGGGTTACAAGGAAATCTAAATTATTCATTACACTTAAGTCTAGCCAGGGGAAGGTGATGTTTAATCACTCAGCAGAATTTCATCCAGTGGTTTGAAAGTTTGTGAAAAATACTTAAAGGGTGACCCAGTGAATTAAGATCATCCATGAGTTGAGATTACTCATAATTAGTGATTTTTTTAAATATACAAAATTATCTAAATGACTGTCATTCTTAAGGTAGTGTCCTTGGCAAATCATCATTTTTTTCCAGTTATACTGACATATAGAAAACTACTTTAATGTCTCCTTTTCTGGAGTCATTTTCAGAGTTAACCATGGGTCACACAAGATTTGGAAGAAGAAACTCACTTGAGACAAAATTTATTCAGGGTTGTTCTAGAGAGAAAATAAAATATATAGGCTGACTTTTTGAGAGATCACTTTCAACACAATAGAAAAAAGAAATTTCTAATGATTTAAGACATTCAACAATGGGGTCAATTTTTGCTAGCATACAATTTTTACTGAAAGTGTTCAAAAAGACACTAGGTGATGACTGACAGAAATGATGGAGAAGATCAATATATTTCAACGTCTCCTTAATAGTTCAGAAACTGTGATTCTGAGATTATTTGAGTAAATATTTTAAAGTCACACAAAATGTATATTATAATGTACACGTATCAAGTTTTCACTTCTCTAAGTCTAACTTCAAATGTCCCTTTATTATTATAGATATCGTCCATTCATAAAATATTACCTCCATAATCTTTTCTTCTTTCCTATCCTGCTTTAAGTTCCACCATAGAACATCTTTCTAATATGTTTTCTGCTTACTTGCTTATATATTTTTCATCTCCCCCAAATGCAATTAACTAGAAGAAAGGATCATTTTTTCAACAACTGGTGCTAGAAAGAATAACAGGCATAAATAGAAAGACCTAAAATTATAGAACTCTAAGAAGAAAGTATAGAAGTAATTCTCTCTGACCTTGGGTTAAGAAAAGATTTCCTAGTTATAACACAAAAAAGTTGAAGCAATAGAAGAAAAAAATGACAAATTGGACTTTCTCAAAATAAAAATATTTAACCTTCAAAAGAAATCACTAAACAAGCCACCAAATAAGGGAAAAAATCTGCCACTCATATATGTGATAAAGTCCAGAATATATAAATAGCTCTTAAAACTCAGTAATAATAAGACAAAATGAGCATAAGACTTGAATGTGTCACCAAAGAAAAAATCAGATGGCCAATAAACACAAAAAATGATCCTCAGCATCATTACTTATTAGAGAAATGAAAATTAAACCAAAAATGAGACACCACTTCACATGCACTAAAAAGGCTCTAATCAGAAAGATGAGCAATAACTACTCAGGATGTGGAGAAACTGGAGGTCTCATCATTGCTCATGGGAACGTAAGTTGGTGTGGCCATTTTGGATAGTTTAGCAGTTTCTTATAAAGTTAAATGTAAATTTACCATATAACTCAGTAATCCTACTGCTATAGATCTACCCAAGAGAAATGAAAATACATAGCCACATGAAGACTTGCATGTAAATATTCAGAGCAGCCTGCTTATAATAACCCAAACCTGGAAACAGCCCAAATATTCGCCAACTGTTGAATATGTAAGTAAATATATAAGAATATGTGCACTGATAATTGTATATTTCTGTGCATACACATTTTAACAGATTTTTACATATATGTATACTAAAATGATATATTTTTGAAGTCCTGTAAATGATGTGTTTATTTTATCCCACTCATCAGAACATGTGAATACACATAATTTCAAATGAATATCTCTTCTGTTTTCAGTCTAGAAGCAAATTTGAGTTCAAATTCTAGCTCTGCCATATTTTAGCTCTATGCCACTAGGTGAGTTAACTTAACCTCTCTGAGCCTGTAGTAGTTAAATACAGGTAACAAAATACATCTTTCATGACTGTGGGATTAAATGAGATAAAGGACATAAAATGCTTAGCACTAGGCTGATGCAATCTCAGTTCCTAGTAGATCATACCCAATATTATCATTTATCTTTTTGGAATATTATTTGCATATCTAGTTTTTCACTAATATTCATGGTGAGGAGAAGAAAGCCATTTCATTAGGCGAAGATAACTACTTGTGCACTTCTAGCCATGGGCCTTCAAATTTTTCACTTAATCTCTCAAAACTTGCTAAAATCTGTAAAGGAGGATCATATTAGCCATAAGAGTTGCTATAATTTGGAAAATGTTACTAAAGAGTCTGTAAACTGCAAAAACATAATGAAAATATAAAGAGCTATATTGTCATGACCTTCTGTTCCCATCAATGCCACCCACAATATGTTTTTAAGAGAACCTTAATAGCTACTCTAGAATGATGCATGGTGGGTTATCCACCCCAAAGAGCATAGTGAAAGAATTTCTGCCAGTGTGGTGGTGGCAAGTCATTCTCAAAATAAACTTCATTCTCCTGTTGTTTGGATATAAAATAAAAGGACCTGTGTCACTCCCTATCTGAAACACTCTCTGCCTGTCCCCTGTCCTCAGGAGCTATCAGGCTCAGCTAAATATGGCCCTGGCCAGTATATTAATAATCCCCAGTGGTTCTGAGACCTCCATGCTCCACCGATGTGACATTCTTTGTGTTCAAATGTCTAGGTGACGTCTGATGCTTAAAACAGCCTATGCTTTCACCCCTCTCTGCATTGTCACAGCCCTGTATCACCACTCTTAAAAAGCGATCGCAGCCACTCCTAGCACCAGTTGCTGACCAGCCTACCCACTTGCCTCCCTGCCTGCCTCTGGCTGCCTTGAATGCCTGGTTCTTCAAGCTCCTTGTGTGTCTGACAAAGCAGGGACCATGTCTACCTTTGGCTACAGGAGAGGACTTAGCAAATATGAATCCATTGATGAGGACGAACTCCTGGCTTCCCTGTCAGCTGAGGAGCTGAAGGAGCTAGAGAGGGAGCTGGAAGACATAGAACCTGATCGCAGCCTTCCCGTGGGGCTGAGGCAAAAGAGCCTGACCGAGAAAACTCCCACCGGGACATTCAGCAGAGAGTCGCTGATGGCCTATTGGGAAAAGGAGTCTCAAAAACTCTTGGAGAAGGAGAGGATGGGGGAATGTGGAAAGGTAGGCTCTCAGGCTCTCTCCTTGGCTACTCTTACCCCCGCCACCCCCAGAGACTGTTTTCTCTAACTTTTCCATCCCCATCAGTCCCCACTTATTTTTTTTTTCTTTTAACCTATTTGTACCTGCTACTGAAATGTTTCTCAGGCTGAAATAGTCATGTAACTTCTAGAGGCACCCAGTGGACGACAGATCTGAAATTCTTAGTTAGGGTTGGGGTCAGCATGAACATAATTCAAGAGCAAGGCATGGGTTTAGATATTTTGCCAGATGTAAGCCTCATTTGAATTATAAGTTGGCGACGTGCACAATATTTGCTTTTGGTGTTAAATTCTGATTATGTATATTACTCACATATACACATATTTATATAGCAGTTAAGTAAATATGTTTTCTATAAAAGAAAGATAGGCTGTGTGGTTGCTTTGACTGTGGTGGTGACTACAGTAAAAATAATGCCTTTTTCCCAGATGTGTGGGGTGGTGAGACGTACATGGCACTAAGAGTTAGGGGACCTATTTCTAGTCCTCCTCTGTCCCTAAGTTGTGAGACCTGCAACCTGTCACCACATCTACACGGTCCTCTTCCCTATCTGTGCGCTTAAGGGACCTGGGTAAATCCAGAACCCATTTGGAATTCTGATAAGTTTACACCCTTCTCAAAAAGTCGCACCTATGCTTATAGAGAGCTTGATGAGCTCATATCAAATGTATAGATCAATATAAACTCACATACAATTTAAAAATGATGCCCCACCTGGAAACCCATGGGAGGACCCAGGTTAAGGACAAGTGCTTGTACTAGAAGTTGGGTCATTTAAGCTCCTCTTTTCTAAAAGGAAACAGTTACTTTGAATTTAGTAAATGTGTCCCTAACAGAAGGAAGTTCAAAGAGCTACGTTCTGGCAATAATAACATGGACACAGACATTATTACATTTGTGGAAGGTCAGGAGCAAGTGTTTAAAATCCTAGTGCTTCACTAGAATCATCTAAAATCAAAATAGCCTGAAGTGGATGGCCAGACTCCACGGGGCTAATCTAGGCGCTCTTAGATGATCTTGATGACAGGGGTGTGGGCTACGTTTGTAGCAAGATATGTGTGAGCTTTGTGCACGTCAATCATCGCAGGAAAGGCGGCTGGGTTCAGGCCAGGGTCTGCCGAGGCCACGGTGGCTGCCGGGTGGAGGCTAGAGACGGAGGTGGTGAGAAATCACGCATGACACTCCTGGAATGCCTCCACAACCAGGATTTTTAAAGGCCTTTTTTTCCTGCTATGGAGATGCTGTCAAAAATCTGATAAAGTAGATAAAACACGATGATATTCTTTTTGCAATTATTAAACAATTTCCTTACTAAAGAGAGAATAAAATGACCTCAGAAAACCCAGGAGAGACAGCCACTGTAGCAATCACCCAACAAAGGCATTTTAATGTCATAATGCCTTGAGATCAGTGGAAACAAAGAGCAAAGGCTGCTGTCAGCTGTTGATGTGAACGCCTGAGCTGCCAAAGGTTCTGCTGAGTCCTGCCAGTGGCGTATCAGCTCAATTAAAGAGGCTGCCTTGTTGATGAACTTTGATTCCTTTCTCAGCTAGTTAACTTTTCTCCCACTGCACTTTCCCTGCTGGCCAGCTGTCTCTGCAGTCACAAGGAGTGCTGAGCAGAAGCCTGCTCATGAGGGTGGAAATCCACTGCCATCACAGGAAAAAGCCCAGAGCAGCTGACAGGCCGGCAGGGGTGGGAGACAACAGCCTAACTGAAGAGTCACACAGTAGGGAGTTGGGGTTCTTTAAATGGAGGCTACTGGCTGTGTTAGAATCATGAAAATGTGCTCAATGCCTATTGCAGGGAAGTTTCTGCCCACCTGGGTTCACATGAACTTACTCTGCCTTAGAGCTTCGAGAGGCCTTGGAGACTCAAATGTCTAACAACCTTAGCTTGAGGATTTCTAGGCCTCGGGCACAGGTGCCAATGAATTCATTCACATTTCATTGACTTCTCACCTTTTGACATGAAAATTGAGACTAGGAGAAGTTAAGAAACTCATCTGAGGTGAACAGCTTATAAAGAAACCAGACAATGATTCTTAAAACGCAGGTCCCCAACCTTCAGGATCACCTGAGAATTCTTAGAACTGCTAATTCTAAGGCTCCCCTGACTTCTGAATGAGGGACCCTGGGGCCTAACACAAGGAGGTCACAAGTCCTCCAGGTGATTTTGAAACCCACTACACTTGAGAACCACTCAGTCATGCTGTATTTTCTAAGGACCACCCAGGGGTTCAGTGACTTGTCTAAAAGTTTTTTAAAGCAGACCTGAAAACAAGTCCGTTGCCTCCTCATCATGGGATGATGCCAGGGAGCTGGTCGGGAGAAAGGGTTGGCAACCCCCCTTTTGTGTAGCCTCACTTAATCCCTGATTGTACCGACACTCACCTTCTCCATAGCATCCCTCGGCGCCTCACACTTCACCTCGCTCCACCTTCCCACACTCATTCTCACAAGGATCGGGGTTAATGCCAGAGCAGTGGCAGAGAGGCAGAGAGACTAGTGGCAGAGAGTAGACAAAAATTACTTTTAGCATCCTGCAGCCTCCTCTCTCTAAGTTTCTGCTGAGCCCTGCCAGTGGCGTATCAGCTCAATTAGAGGCCGCTTTGTTGATGAATGTTGATTCCTTTCTCAGCTAGTTAACTTTTCTCCCACTGCACTTGTGTTCTCCTAGCAGTTCACAGCTAGGGTGGAAGCCATCACAGAGTATCCTGGACCATCTAGATTTTAGGAATAAAATCCTGAATTCTGGGCTACAGTCCATCATCTTACCTCTTCCTAGCCCTGTCACTACTTCCCTCCTAGGATTAGTCTTCTTGATTCTTAGTGACTGTTAACCAGTGTCAACTTGGAGCCACTCAGTAAACAAATATTTATCGAGCCACTACAACATGCTAATAAGCACTGTGCAAAGTGAGTGAAACAGATCCCTGCTCTCACCCAGCTACCAGCCATTGGGACCATGACAAACAAGTAATGAAAATCAGTATCTTATCAGAGGAAGTGCAGTGCCACCGGCGCATACCAGGAGAATATCTTGAGGGGGTGTCAAAGAAGGCTTTCTGGAAGAAGTGTCATTAGATGTTACATAGTCATGCGGCAGAAGTTTCTGGTATTATCTCTCAAGCACTTTTTGAGGGGAAAACATCTTTTGCAGATAGAGGCTAAAGGTCTCTTAAAAACCAAAAAGGATTAAGATTTAATGGTGGCGTGCAGATATTATAAATACTTTAGATTTTGGAATAGGCCTCTTTCCTCCAAATACTGAAATAGCTACAAACACACAACATATATGCTCATGTGCACACACAGCCAACGTGGGCTAGAATTATAAGAAAATATATAAATGTATGTGAGGTGAAGTGGGGGTGAGGAGAAACCAGCCTACAAATTATTTCGTTCCTTCAGTTAGTCCAGTTAGTCCACTTCTGTGCAAAATGAGGCTTCCCTTCTCATAGTCACCAAGTAGCTTGACTAGGGGCAAACATTTTTTCTCATGTTTTGGGGTTGTGAGTTGCAGTCAGTTGTCAACTCTCCTTCCCTCCCTCCTCTTTCTCTCTCTCTCTCTCTCTCTCTCTCTCTCTCTCTCTCTCTCTCTCTCACACACACACACACACACACACACACACACACACACACACACACAATCCCTCCCCCTCCTGCTCCTGAACAAGTGCATAATTAAGACTGGACAAGCCATCCCAGGAGTGGCTGACCCCTTTCCAGGCCATCCCCTGCTGCCTGCCACCCTAAGCAAGCCGAGGCTATTTTGTGATGGCAACTGGGCAAATAAACCTGGAGACAAGCACAGTGTTTTCCAGAGCTCATTCCACGTGCCTCAGGCAGGAGCCCTTGGGGGGTCAAAACAACCTGCCAACTTTGAGGACCGAGGCTTTGGGGACAGAAGGGACACCTAGGGCTGTAGAGGAGATAAAGAGAAGGGGTTATCAGCTCTCAGCAATTTCCAGATTGTTGTTGTTGTTGTTTTTTTTTTTTTTTCAATCAGAAAAGATAGAAACAAAAACAGAAAGCAGCGGCCACTTGGTATTATAAACAGGAAAGACATAGAGAAAGAAACTGCTTTTGCCTGAAAGTCTTTCATAATTGATACATGGTGAATAAGACTCTCAGGCAGAGGTGAAGGTTTGAGTCAAGATTTTCTACTGTTCTGGGCTGTTCCCCATTCTAGTTAGAATCTAGTTAGTGACAAGGACGATTATCTTTCCCTCTGGCCTTCTGCAGACCTTCTCGTTTAACACTGTGCTAGTGTGACATTTCAGGTTGATATACCGAAAAGGGTGACCTGAATGTTTTTCCTCACAGAACTGGGTTTTGGCTGCTGCTGCCTGGAACTGCAGCCTGTGTCTTCAGCCTCCCTTCTCCAGATGAGGGGCAGGGACAGCAAAGCTCTCAGGTGGCCTGGGGTTTCTGAGACACACTGCCAGGCTCTACTGCAGGGACAGATGAACATTGGAGAAGTCAATGACATCTGTGCTTCTGTCTACATGTGGCAGGCCAGGGTAGAGAGTACTTGGGTCCCCTTAAATCTGCTATAGGGAGCAAATCTTGGGAAGAATTTTTGAACCTTAGAAAAGGAAACCCATTAACATCGTAGATATTTGTATTGTCTCTTATTTTTCTGGGATGGAGAAATAAAGGACACAGGGGTGATTCCATAAGGGAAAGCTGAATTCGCTAAATTGTAAGAAGATGAGGAATAAAGTAGTTCAAAACAGATAGTGAAGAGAGTGAAAAATTAACAATGTTTCTGTAAAACTGAAGTTCTGATTTGTTTGTTCAGATGGGCAAAATGATAGTATAGTTTTACTCTTACAAAACTGAATGCTGGTTATATTTATCTGGCAGAGAATGAAAGAAAATGTTTATAGAAAAAGTTGAAAGTTACGCAACGAAATGCATAACTAAGGTTATTAGTCTCCTGAGCTAGAGAACAGAACAGATTAACTTTTTTCCCTTATATTCTTTTTGTAGTCCTTGACGGTGTTATTTTTCTCTCTTCTTTTAATTTATCGTGATAAACTGTCATATAATGTTATATTCATTTTAGGTGTAGACCATAAAGCTTTGTGCATGTGTATATTATAAAACCACATGGATCCCTTTGTCAATTAAAAATTGTGCTTAAAAATGACAGATCGGGCCTCCCCGGTGGCTCAGCGGTTGAGCGCTGGGTTGCGAAGCTGCCTGCTGCCTCTGTAGCGCCGGTTCAATCCCCGGCTGCTCCCCGGCCACCAGAGGAGGGTCCCACATGGCGCTCAGACCTCTCCTGCCGCCCGCTGCTCCCCTCAGCAGTGTACTTCGGTCCTTCTGCCTGCTCTGCTCCCCGCTCTGGCTCTGGTGAATTCTCTCACCCTCCCACACTTCTGACTGTACCCAGTGCATGTATAAACAAACAAACAAAAAACAAACAAACAAATAAATAAATAAATACATGCCTCTTTAAAAAAAAAAAAATTACAGATCTAGGGCCTCCCTCGTGACTCAAGGGATTAAGATGCAATTTATGAAGCTGTCCTCAGCCTCTCCATCCTGGGCCAGCCAGGGAGCAATCCACATGGCGCCACAGACCTCTCTCCTCTCTTGCCTGCTGCTCCCCTCAGCAGTGTATTTCAGTCAGTCTGCCTGTTCTGCTCCCCACTCTGTCTCTGGTGAATCCTCTCACCCTCCCATCTCTGGCCTGTACCCCAGTCCTTGCATGCATAAACAAATAAATCTTTAAAAAAAAGAATTTAAAACAAAATAAAAATTGTGCTTAAAAATGACAGATCTGGTGGGCCTTCCTGGTGGCGCAGCAGGTTGAACACAGCGCTGTGAAGCTATCCGCAGCCTCTGCAGCGCGGGTTCGATTCCCGGCCTGCCAGGGAGATACCCACATGGCGCAGCAGACCTCTCCTGTCTCACCGGCTGCTCCCCTCAGCAGTGTTTTCAGTCGCTCTGCGTGTTCTACTCCCTGCTCTGTCTCTGGTGAATTCTCTCGCCCTCCTGCACCTCTGGCCTGTACCCCAGCTCTTGTATAAATAAATAAATAAATCTTTAAAAAAAAATGACAGATCTGGTAATCATATTATGCTCTTCATATTATGCTCTTCTTGTATAAATAAATAAATAAATCTTTAAAAAAAAATGACAGATCTGGTAATCATATTATGCTCTTCAGGTTGCAGAAGAAGACAAAGAGGAGAGTGAGGAAGAGCTCATCTTTACTGAAACTAACAGCGAGGTTTCTGAAGAGGTGTACACTGAAGAGGAGCAGGAGGAGGATGAAGATGAGGATGATGAGGAGGAGGCCAGCGATGGCGAGCAGAGCACAACCGAAAGCGAGAAAGGCATGAACGGAACTGTCCCCTCGGACCCCTCGAAGCCAAAGACATTTAAAAGCCAGATGGAAAACATAAACCTGACCAACGGCCACGGTGGGAGGAACACCGAGTCGCCGGCGGCCATCCACCCCTGTGGAAACCCCACGGTGATCGAGGACGCTTTGGAAAGGATTCGAAACAACGACCCCGACACCACCGAGGTCAACCTGAACAACATCGAGAACATCACTTCGCAGACGCTGGCGCGCTTCGCCGAGGCCCTGCGGGACAACACGGTGGTGAAGACCCTCAGCCTGGCCAACACGCACGCGGACGACAGCGCCGCCCTGGCCATCGCCGACATGCTGCAGGTCAACCAGCACATCACCAGCGTCAACGTGGAGTCCAACTTCATCACTGGCAAGGGCATCCTGGCCATCATGCGGGCCCTGCAGCTCAACACCGTGCTCACCGAGCTGCGCTTCCACAACCAGAGGCACATCATGGGCAGCCAGGTGGAGATGGAGATCGTGAAGCTGCTGCGGGACAACACCACGCTGCTGAGGCTGGGCTACCACTTCGAGCTCCCCGGACCAAGAATGAGCATGACCAGCCTCTTGACGCGAAACATGGATAAGCAGAGGCAGAAGCGGAGGGAGGAGCAGAAGCAGCAAGAGGGATGTGATGGCGGATCCCATCTGAGGACCAAAGTCTGGCAAAGGGGTACGCCTGGCTCCTCGCCTTATGCATCCCCCAGGCACTCTCCCTGGTCTTCCCCCAAGGTCCCCAAGAAAGCCCAGACCGCTCCCCCGGTGGCCCCGCCCCCTCCACCACCCCCACCCCCACCCCCACCGCACCCCCAGAAGCTGCCCGCTCCTCCTCCACCCCCGCCACCCCCGCTGCCAGACCAGAAGCTCATCACCCGCAACATCGCAGAGGTCATCAAACAACAGGAGAGCGCCCAGCGGGCATTACAGAATGGACAGAAAAAGAAAAAAGGGAAAAAGGTTAAGAAACAGCCAAACAATAACTTAAAGGCAATAAAAAATTCCCTGAGGTCAGTGCAAGAGAAGAAATTGGAAGACAGTTCTCGTCCTTCCACCCCTCAGAGGTCGGTTCATGAGAATCTCATGGAAGCCATTCGGGGAAGCAGCATAAGACAGCTGAAGCGGGTGAGTAACCCCACAGTGGGTATTGGGGCGCAGAGGGAGAATGGTGTCTGTCCTCATTGCAGGACAGTATGGGAATCACCTCTCAAAATACTTACTAGTATTTAAAATATTTTAGCATGCGAGAGCAAGCACCCCGCGTTTGCTGCATCAGGAGCAGGTCTCCAACTAACCCCCTTCATTTGAGAAGAGGGTCGAGGCCACCTACTTAGCAGTCCTGTGAGGACCAGGCTCTTTGTAAAAGATAGTCCAACATATAAAAGCACTGATTTCCTTAATAGGAAAATCAGGGAGTGTATCTATATTAAAAAAAAAATGCATTACTTGCCAGTTATTTTATCACAAAATTGCAATGATTTAAAACCTATTACAATATAAAATTTGAATACCATGCAGCAATAATCAGTCTTCACCTGTTCTAAGTACGCTTCTGAGAATCCTGCTAGAGACATAACCTAGAGCTATTTTTCATTTCCTCATTTGTGTTGTTTTTATTGAAAGCAAATCCCCTGTTTTTGTAGGTGGAAGTTCCAGAAGCTCTGCGATAAAAACAGGATCTTTAGAAGAGGATGCAGAATTATTCAGTGGTATTAAATAGAATGTATTGTGAGATGTTTCTAAAATACCTTTCTTCAATTTGAAATGTTCTCTGGCTTTAACAGTAGCCTCACCCATTAATTCCAAAGAGAACTTTAAGAAACAATCAGCATGTTTCTTCTGTAAATATGAAAATAAATGTCTTTTTTTTTATGTCATGCGATTTGTATTGGCAGGAAGCAGTTTATTTATAGATGCTCTTCATATCTCTGGATGTGTCGGTAACTGAGCTGTAATGAGTAAATGAAATGTGCTGTTATTTTTGTAATCCTAATAAATTTGGATTGAAGTTTTTTGTTTTTTAAACAAACTAATATTTTTGTGACTTCATGCATCTGTCAGGTGTGTGTGTGGCATTTCTAAATATTAAAAAGATTACGTTCTCTTGCCCAATCGACTTGGATCCTTAACATTTGCTTTAATTTTCTCATATCCAAGAAAAACTTACCAGAGCTCTTTCTAAAGGTCTGTAATCAAGAATCTTCTGATAAATTGCTTTAGTAGTGAGATAAAAAGGGTCCAGGAAAGACCTTCATTGTGACTGTTATCATCTTCGATGCATTAATGTGAGACCCAGCCTGCATTGCTATAAGGCTGACAGCTAGCCAGAAGTCAAGTCAATCACTTTTAATTAAACTATTTCTGGAAGAAACTTCGAAAGCTGCTTGGTAGAAATATAATATGGGCTAAGAGAATGTATAGCAGATAAATCCCCTGAATTCTGAGTTCGCTTGAGACTGATGCTTAAGATTCTCCATTCAAGCCTCTTTGGATGAAACTCAGTCCCATGGTCTCAGCCTTTGTGTGCTCTACACAAATAGTAGCAATGTTGATGTCCATCCAGAGACAAGGGCACAGGTATTTGCAATCCTCACTCCCTCTCTCTCAAGAAAGACCTGAATTCAAATAACAGAAAGTTATTTCCGAGATTACCTTCATTTCACCCTAGAGTCCCATTCCAACTTACGAAAGCTATAAATCTCTTCTAAAGTCCTTTGTATTAACTGAGATTAGCTGTGTTTCCTCTGTGCCCTGCAAGGTATAATGGTGGTCTTGGCAAGCTCTCCGGGCCACCCATTCATTCAATCACCATTTGTACATGCACAAAGCTTTGGATTATCTCCCATCAAGAGGATTGTGTTTCACCAGAAAATTTCTCCCATAGTTATTGGGTCTGTTTCTTTTCATTTGTTTCTGCTGTTCTTTCTCTTACTCGATAAGAGCGACAGATAAAATCTCTGAAAGATATTTCCCCTCTCCCTTGAGCTAAGTCAGTGCCCAGATTCTATGAGGGAATGACTAACACTTTCTGAACTATTAAGGCGTCTGTGTCATGTACTGTCCACACCAACATAAAATGATGCTGTCCCCATTTTAGAGATAAGGAAACCCAGGCACAGAGGACTGAAGTGTCTCTGTTAGGTCAGATTATCTCTTGACTGACTGTACGTTCTGTCCTCTCTGCTTCCTTCAGACTCAAACTTTCCAAAGGCTCCTTGTTCTTAGAACACAGTAGACAACGTCCATTTCCCTCAGAGTAGTTTCACTATTTTTCTCCCTTTTCATTGGTGCTCACAGCATGTTCATTATTATTCCTCAAAGAAACAAAAGCTGGAATTAAGGTTTATGAAAGATGTGTGTGCCCGCAGATGTGCGTGCGTGTGTGTCACTGAGAACAGAAAGCCAAGGTAGACTTTTCTCCTCCTCTTGGGCCCTCTCAATGCTCCAGGACAGGGTTCTTCTAAAGGGGAAGAGCTTCCAATCACATCCTGCTGAGGCAGAGGAGCAAAGGCTTGCTGGCAACTGGTTGTTAGTAACAGATGCAGGAATGCCAGATAGGAGAGGAAAAAGTAGCCCCTGTGGGACAGGAGCTGCTAATTTTGGAAAGACTGGCAGCGGCCTTCTCACCAGAAGTAGCTGGGAGACAAATACTCTCTCCTTTGCGTTTTAAAAGATGAGCTTGCTGGAACTTTTTGGGCTCAGAAAAGGGCAGCATACACTTAGCAAGTGCTTCTAAAATGTAAAGATAAGGACCAATACATTCAATCTACAAAACAAAATATTATATAACTCAGAAAACAAGTGTGCCCTGGTTGGGGATAAAATGGGTAGGTGCATTTATCATTCAGGAAAAATATTTCTCAAGTGTTATTTCAGAAAACAACAGTGTAGACATGCAAGGCATAATGACTGTCTTTATTCAGCACAGGATAGGGATTTTTAGTGCATTCTGCAAACTCATAGGACTGGTATGAAAACTAATTAGCTCATCCTCTATAAAGAGGTTTCAGCTCACCAGGAAAGAGGCCATCCAAGACCAGATAAAGTGGCTAGGCTTCGATTTGTATCTGCATGTTAATCTCTTAAAGTACACCTCATCCTGGTTTGAAATGGGGCCAGAATGGCAAGTCTCGCTCTGCTTCCCGAGCCCTGCTACCACAGATATTTAATAACTCAGCGTCAGCAAGATCTTGATTTAATACCTGCCCTGAGACAGTCAATCGATTCATTCTCGAAACGACCTCAAAATTACTTCCTTTCATGACAAAGTAAATGCTGTCATCTCTGCTTCTCTGTGGCTCAAAAGGTAGAGTGTTATTTCTACTAGTCACCAGAGCACATGATAAAAACAACTAAAAATTGACCAGAGAATTTAAAATATGGAGATGCGATACCAACACTGAGGCACTTAACAGCTTGCACAAATACATTCTGGGTGCCTACCACACTCCAGATGCTCTTCTGGACCGTGGGAATACCCAGTGAGTAATGAAAATAAACCCTGTGCCCACATGTAAGTTATGTTCTAGTAGAGGAAACGTACCCATTCCTTCAAGCATTATAGGTTTATTAACTAACGGCCTCCTGTGTCTAGAAGACCAAATTGAATAGAAAGTGCTCTCCACTGTGAGGCTGTGGGAATCCTAAGAAAACCATCCCTTTCAGAATATGTGTAAGAACTGAGTTGGAGGCAGATGAGCACAGAGAAAACTTAATCATCTAAAACTGGTGTTTGCAAACTTTTTCTGCTGAGAGGCGAAGACTAAATATTTTAGACTTTGTGGGCTATTTAGTCACAACCATTCAACTGTGCCAGCGCAGAGCAAAGCAGTCCTAGATAATGCAGATGAGTAAGAATGTTTATGGGCACCAAGATTTAAATTCCATATATTTTCATACAGTGTTGACTTTCCTCTTTTGATTTTTTTCAGTCATTGAAAAATGTAAAAGCTCTTCTTAGTTTGCAACCTGGACAAAAATAAGTGTTGAATACATTTGGCCCGTGCGTCACAGTTTACCAGAGACCCTTGAAAAAGAGCAGATAAGAGGTCACGACAAGCTTCTCAAAGAAGGTGACACTTGATCTGGATTTTTTAAGAATAGAGAAGATACCAGGCTAAAAGGAGGGAAGTAAGGGGAGTGAGGAATGAGAAGGACATTTGAGTTTGAGGAAACAGTTGAAAATCATAGGGTTTTTTTTTTTTTCCCCCCCCACTGGAAAACATATTTTATTTTTATTTTATTTTTTTTTTAAATAATAAATTTTATTTTTATATTCCCCCATACAATTGCAAACGTCCCATTTTGATCCCAATCCTTCCCCTCCCGCCCCCCACCCCCCAAAAAGTGTCTCTGGTTCATAGTTTTTTGTTGATTTTGATTTTCACTTTCTTATATTCATTTTCCTGGTCCCTTATTTAAGTTTTCTAGATTCCTGCTAAAATCACAGGGTTTTTATGTACTTCTCTAAAAATAAGGAGTTGGTTAAAAGGTTAGTTTCTCAGTTCTTGCCCCCTTATATTCATAATGTTGGTGAATTAAGGATAGAATTCATTAAGAACCATTTGATGGACTACTACATAGTTTCCGTGTGAACTTTTTATGAAAATGGTACATGGTCATATAAAAACATCAAAAGAATGGTGGTAGGAGATTGACAGGGACTACAGCTAAGGGGAGAAATCAAATACTGTACAAAAATAAACAACAACGTGGGCCTCCCCAGTGGAGCAGTTGTTGAGCTCTGGGTTGCGAAGCTGCCCGCTGCCTCTGCAGCGCCGGTTCGATCCCTGGCTGCTCCCCGGCCACCGGAGGAGGGTCCCACATGGCGCACAGACCTCTCCTGCCGCCCGCTGCTCCCCTCAGCAGTGTACTTCATCAGTCTGCCTGTTCTGCTCCCTGCTCTGGCTCTGGTGAATCCTCTCACCCTCCCGCGCTTCTGACAGTACCCAGTGCTTGTATAAATAAATAAATAAATAAATCTTTTTTAAAAAATAAACAACAACGTAAGAAAATTAAATAGTTTCATAAAAAATAATTAAATTAAAAAAACTTAACAATTAGAAAGAAAATACCAATCAGAAAAGGAACATAAGCAATCCCCATAATCCAATCCACACAGAACAACTACTGAAAATGCTTTATGGTATCCTTTTAGATTCTTCTTAATACATATTTAAACACACACATAACTATTTTTTTCCTTAAAAAGAAGTAGATACCGGTTTACCACACACCATATTTTATTTAATCAATTACAGTCACAGTTGGCAATTTAGGTTATCTTGATTATTCCCATGAAGTTAGATATTTAGTTCGTTCCAATACGTCTTATTATTTGGTTGTTCCGACATCCAACTTTTTCCTAAAGCCCTTCGAAGAAATGATTGACTGAAAATCAAAGCTAGAAAGCTGTCTCCCGGAGAGGCAAGCCTTGCAAAGCCTCATTGTGGTGTACCAAAACTGGAATTTAGGTTTTAACCAAATTGTCATGTTTACCAATTTTCTCTCAGCCAAATTATATGCCAGTCTGAACCACAGAGGCGTGCATCAGTATGATGCATTTCCAAAAGTCTGTGCATTTTCTACATCTGCATAAAAATTCCAGGAGGGGCTGAGTGTCACAGGCACCTGTTCCGGCCACTTCAGTGAGTAAACTCAGGAATGTGGACTTAATTATGAAAGTCA